CTACAGTTAACTCAATTTTATGAGATAAGTTACAAATTCGTCAAGTTGCGTCATAAGGATAATTATTAATATATAAATCACTTCAAAAATTAATGGAAAAATTAAAAAGGTAAAGTTGTTCCTGTGCTTAAGCAATTAAGCACTACACCATGAAGGCGTATATGGGAGTGGATATATACATCCACATTTTCCTGACCTCGACACTAGATGGAGTTGAATGGTCAGATTCACAACCCAACCGCTATCCCCTCGGGGAAATTTTTCCGGTAAAAATTGATTAGGCGGTTGTCTAGAAAATGTTGGAGCCTCGACGTCTCACAACCCTGTGAGCCTCCACGGCCTGACACAGGGATGGCTTTACCTTTTATGTTAGATAACCAGTCTTTAAAGCCTAGCGTAAAATGGCGTGTTGCTCTAATGGTTATTAACTTCTGGGATATATCGGGGAATGTAAAAAGTGACTGTATGATTAATCGACGCTATTCTACAGCCCGGCGCCGTGATGCAGTTGGAATGAGCGTATTTTTAATTCCGTATGATGGGTTCGCCAAATAATGAAAGACGATCGAATGCAGGTCCCAAGCTGTAGCTAGCAACCCAAAAACATCTCACTTCTTCGTGTTATCCCTGGCAGGGGGCTGTGTGTAAGGGGCAGTACTGCACGTGAAACTGTTAGTAACAACGGAAGCCACGCATGCGCGGTAGGTATCGATTCCGTGAAGTTCCTTACCACGCTCTCAGTTCCAGTCTCCGTTCTATGCGCAGCAAGTTCCTGCATTCTTGGGGCCCGAAGGTTCATTGCCATGTTTAGAACTGTTCGCCATTAGTCCATATCCTCAGCAAAACTAGTTACTCCACACCACTACTACACCTATATCCTTAACTCCATTTTAATAATACCCTTTAATCTATGCCTAGATCTTGGAAGCAGTATCCTTCGGGATTTCCTACCAAAATTTTGTATGTATTTCTCTTCTATTCTATTCTTGTTAACTACCTCACCCATATTATCCTCTTTGAGTTGATCATTAATTAGTGTGACTACAAATTATAAAGAAGAAAGCAGTCTTCTGGGATTTGGCACCGTGTATATGTGGTGTTAACCGACGTTTCGGAGGAACGTATCGCCTCCATCTTCAGGGTAGAAGAAAAAATATATAAGAAATCTGCAAGCAAAGAGACCGTGAGAACCGGTAAAAGCAAACAAATTATAAAGCTTCTCTTTACGCAACTTTCCCCAGTATCACGTTCCTCCCTCATATGTCCAAATATTCTCCTCAGCACCGCCGTCTCAAACACCCATACCCTATGTTCATCCCTTAATGTGCGACAGAGCTTTACAATTGAACCACCGAGCAGCATATACTACTGCATAAAAACACCACTGTGTAGAGACTTCAGACAGGCAAAAATAAACACGGATTAATGAAATGTTACAGTAATGTGCTATACTGATAATAGATGGCACTGGTGCCACGAGTACTATTTACTTGTACACCCGACCGCCCCTATCCGGCATAAAACAAATGTCAGTACCTCGCTTACGTCCAAGCAATGTAAACGGATTCTAATGTGCGAGAAATGAAGCCTTCACAGCGACGCCATGTCAGCTGGTTCAAAATGGCCGACGTTCCTGTCCTTCACAGTGGTCCAAACCAAAGTAACGTTGCGACCGACTGTCATTCGGTTCGTCAGTTCTTCCTGGAGTCGAGCCCATTGTGGGGCTCATATGTAAATACAAGAGAAAGTCAGAAATTATCCGCACTTTCGCCATAACAAATCTTTAGCTGTGCATGCATGCTTAGTGTTGGTACTACTGTGGTCACGTGATCGAAGTTTGACCTTGATCGGGTCATTTTCCTTGATGCTGTGATAGTGTAAACATGGCCGCTCCGCTAGCAGTGTGCACCAAGGAGGAACAAAGAAAAGTGATCCGATTTCTCTAGTTGGAAGGTGTGTCAGGGGCTCAAATCCATCGGAGGCTTTCAGCACAATACGGGGACAATGCTCTACCGCGTAGAAGTGTGTATGACTGGATCGAGAAGTTTAAAAGTGGCCGGACAAGAAATTCAAGACTCAATCTTCCGCGGGAAAGGTGATGCTAACCGTTTTTTGGGACTCAAAAGGGCCTATACTTGAAGACTACCTAGAGAAAGGGGTTACGATCGAAGTGCAACATACAGTGATTTGTTGAAGAGCTGTTACCACGTAAAGACGAGTGAAAGTAAATTGAGAAGTCTTAGTGTGGAGTGATTTGTAGTGTGTAAATCAGCAGTAGTGTAATAATTATTTGTAGTTACGACCTGTAAGTGAACAGTAAATCTATTCACCAGTCCAAACCACGTCTATAGTCACTAATACACGAAACAATATGCATATTTCATTGCATGCACGCTACGTGTTCACCCATCTTATCCAACTTGGATTGATCGCCTTTTTATAACATTTTGTGAAGAGAACAAGTTCTAAAACTTCTCATGATATAGTATTCTGCAGTCTACAACTACTTCACTCTTAAGTCCTAATGTTACTGTAATTTGAGGAGAGATCATGTTTCACACTTAATACAAACAGACGGACAGAAGTCGCTCGTATTTCGAAATATGAAGTCGGAACCGCACTGCTAAGTTCAGTCTCGAGCTCTGATCACAGTAGCAGGAGCACGCATACTGGTTCGAAGTGCAGTATAAATACCGGCATAGTAGTTACTTTTAACTGTTTAAGTCTCCGACACAGAAAGTATAAGAGGCTTAAACTTGGCGGCGGTCAGGCATACGACCGTTCAAGTGACTAGACTGCCGTGGTAGCTAATACTACTAGGAAATATATATAAAGGGCATAATCTGCTGTACCTAGCCTGGACTGACAGAGGCCGTGTATATATTGTACATTTAAATAAGAAATAAGTGTGTATTGTAAATATGTGTACATACAGACAATGGACAAATTACTACAGACTGACTAACAAATGACAGACCCGACCTCTCGTCAGAGAGGGCGCTACACATGGACAGGACAGTAACTTTCATTCAAAATAAATATCTGGTCATGAGCCCCAAAGACAGACAGACAGACAGACTGACCGTCAGTTGCAACGTGACTCTGACTCTGACTGTGACTGACTGTTAACCGCCCAGGACAGCGATCTTCCTCTCGTCGCGGCTCTCTCTGTACAGAACCGAGGCGACTGTCAGTAGGAATTCAGAGCCATCTGTTGGAAACGATACGAAAATGTTTGGACTCTGTTAGTGGGAACCTGGATGTTGCTCCGTAGAATAGTTTCCACTCACTGCTCCGGCTAGCTAGAAGGTCTGCCAAACACACAGCCAGCCTTGTGGCCCACGTAAAACAGATCCACTAACATATACATGATCGTATTGCAATTGTTATGAATCTGATTTCAGCCGAAAAATCCTCTAATTTTTGTGTACCTTTGTATTTCTTTCCGATTTTTTATAGTGCTGAAGGATAAACTTAAAATATAAACGATATAAATAATTACAAGTAATATATTTCGCCTAGTTTGAGGCTCGTAGAATTTTTCGAACGTTTGGTGTCGCGGATGTATATCGGAATTTATCTACATTGTTTTGTCATATATATATATGCCTACATAACGTAATATCCTCTAGCGAAGAGAAGGCGAGTCAAACGATGAGCAGTAATGACCCTTATGCTCTTCGTTAAGAAAAAAAAGTGCTTTGTTTGTCAACGGCAACAACGAGACTTGAAAGTAAACACTGCTTGGATTCACAGTTTTATTATTCTGAATCGGGATTGGCCAGCCGGCAGAACGCGGTAAAACGTCGTTACGCTGTGATCCATCCAGTCCCCCCCCCTCCGATATCACCTGACGAATCAATATTGACCTCAACGTCACATGATAAAGTTGACCCGGAAGCATGACGTGACTGACACCAAGCGCGATATGGATAACACGTTTCCGGTTGCGCATGAGGTGTTCAGACGCAGTTCCTGCATGGACATCCTATGCCACCCAACTTGGGGTGGTCTGACAATCCAAGACTTCTTTTCAGAATGATTTGGGTTCAAGACAGGGCGAATCTGTGATTGTTAGCTTCCCTGCGGTCGTGTGAATTCCAGTCCAGGTTCATGGAGTTTCAGATTAAATACGTTTCCGTATATGTTAATAATAATAACACTGTCACGTGTCCGGAGTTCCGTGACTAATAATAAGGGGTTCTGGATTGGATGATTGGGTTTATTGCCGCCTTCTTTCACAATCACTCTTACAATCAATTATAAAAGCTGGCAATCAGTGACTGCCAAGCACTTGCGCCATTCCTACATGAGCTACGAATGTCTTCTCTTCCACTGTGGCTGACTTGGTTCTGATCTACGAATCGGTCACTCCTCCGGCTTCCGTTGTCCGCTTTGTCTAATATGCCACAGCTGGACACTGAACTACTAAACTGCCTTATCAGTTCTCCTGCGACTGACTGAACCCTCAGCGTTCTCACGTGTCCTTTTATAAGTTCGGGACGAACCGAATAGAGACCACCACCTCATATTGTTCCTCTGTTATTCTGTCCTCATTCATTGCTGAGGAAACATGTGTTAATTTCATAGCAACGGTCTTGTTATCCCGAGTTTACTACTTCCACTTTTCGTATCCATGGAAACCGTATTCCGTAACCAGGTGATTTCCCGGAATCAAACTCTCCTTGGCCACGTGTCTGCCAATTCGTCTCCTAATAATAACACAATAACAATAATAGTGAGAAAAAGAACATAAATCCGGGCTGAATGATCGGTTTTCTGTTCGAACTGTTCTCCTCGCCACTGGGCTCAAGTGGGCTCTGAAGCCTACCCAGCCTCCTGACGAATGAATACGTGGAGTTTTTCTCCGGGGATGACGTGGGAGAAAGACACTGACCACTTCTCAGATATACCCTCATGACGTGGCGCTTAGGCACGAGGACAAATATCAATACGATCACATCTTTGGAAGAAGTACAGTTCGTCTCTCCATGACTCACCCCAATGGTCTGCCGACGTAGCATCTTCTGCCTTCGTCGTCGCAGCGAGTAGCAAATGCAGACAGCCAGCAGAAGGACCAGCAAGGCTCCGCCCAGTATGACAGGCAGCAGCAGGCTGTCTCGGCCGTTGTACCCCTGCGCCACACAAGACAAGTGTTAAACCTCGCGTGAAAAGGGAAAGAAGAATGGCAGCAGGAAGGAAAGAAAGAGAGAAAGCATGATAGAGTAGGAGTGAACGAAAGGAAGAGAAAGGAGGAAAGTTAAGAAGAAAGGAACTCTAGATCAGCTGCAGCGATTTCAGTCTCAGTTATTACTGAATATTGATATCTTCTGGGATGTGATACCGTGTCGGACGAACGACTAAGGGTAGGAACACACACAGCGGCATAAAATGACGTGAAATATGCCCTTAATAGAGGACTCTGTGCAAAACATATATGCCGCGCTGATGTTGAGATTTTGACTGGTGTCTGCTTAAATTTTCAAGTCTTCTCGTTCGGTCACAGAAATGTGACATTCAGCACCATTATCATCAGTCACTCTTCGTCTGTTGAGTATCTGTTCGTCTTCTGACGTCTCAGTGTGGGAATTCTTTTAGCTGAAAACAAAAAGGGGACAGACACATACGGGTTTCCTAACAACATGAAAATTGCCATGAAAACCCAAACAGGAGTTGAAGTTTGCATTCCCATAAACAATTCGTCTCTCATGCGATAATATATGATTATATTAACATAATTTGATACCATGCGGCTAATTTATCAACACTATGTTTGCATTCTCGAAATCTAATTACATAAACAAAACTTTAAGTGATTAATTTTAGTTAGTGTTACAGGCATGCTTCATGGGGCATGGTTCCATACAAGACGGAAGATACAGATTAATTGCCAACTTAGCGTCTATCCATCCGTCCTTCCGTCCGTCCGTCCGTCCTTATATCCATCCATCCATCTATTCCTGTTGCTTTTCTTGAAGCATAGGGCATCCGTGAAACGCTTCGTTTCACTTCAGTTTCTTAATCTAAGACAGTCGGTAGGACTCCTTGGACGGGGTATCAGCCCGTCGCAAGGCCGCTAACTACACGCAAACAGAATAATCGCAAACATCCGTGCCTTGAGTGGGATAAGAACCCACGATCCCAGTGTTCGATATTTTATGTCTTAGACTGCGCGACCTCTGTTATAGGCAAAACATATGTAAATAATTGAAATTGAAAATGCATTTTGTAACACTAAGACGTTTCACAAAGGCCAGTGTTTTTTTCTTGTCACAAGAGACGCACCAGGGAAGAAAAACTCTACATGTCTAAACAGAATGAGAAATCTGGCTGTAAGCCCCAAGTGGGTCTCGACACCAGCACGTACAGACTGACTGACCATCGGCCGTACTTCATCTTGAGCGTGGCCGGACTTGCATGTAGGAAGAAGCCACGAGTGAACCGGCTGGAGACAAGTGACCGGAAACCGTGGCCCTCGTAGGAAGGATGGAACCCCCTGAGACTGGCTACACTATGCAGCTTCGAGGCTATCGATATTTTGGAATGGACTTGGAAGAAAGTGGTCGTGGCCTCATCCTACGTTTGCCTGCAGGGACTGAGGAACCCCACGATAAACCTCAGTCAGAATATCCATGGTCCCGACCGAGATTTGAACAGAGTACCTCCGGTATACAAGTCTAGTGCGCTACCGCAGGTCGGGGAAGCATGAGAAGCGGAAGGCGAAATGTAAAATTTTAGCGGTTTGCTTTACTGCCATGAAGATGGAAAAAGCAGATTCATCCGAAAAGTGGTATCTATCTGTGATGGCCCATTCTTCTAGCCCGAAGATTAAGGCAGTAGGTTCATCCGAAACATTTTCGGCTGTCTGGAAAATTGCACGGCGTCACATTCGAGAAGACTATAACTTTCATAGTCACCGCTGCGGAAACTTCAAATTTCGTCTAAGAATATTTGTTACAATCCAAAGCACTTGACAAAGGAACGTGTTTCTCATTAATTCTCTCAAAATACCAGGCATGATCATAAACTCCTCCCCCTACCTCTCCCCCACCCCTAATTACAAAATTGCCACATGGGCGATTCATTCAGAATGGTAGATCAATACTAGACTTCACGCATCACAATACTGTCAGAGAAGTTGCCTACAAACACGGCTATTCGTTTCCATTTCTCTTCGACAGTCAATACTTCTCTTTTTACGGTATTTCGGTTTAACGCGGTTGAAGTATATATACTTCTTAATTAATGTAGCTTTAGTTCGCACTTGAACCCGAGTAGGCGATGAGTGACAGGGTTGCGGTGAAGATCACAGAAGCTTTCGCGTATGGAGCCCTGAGAGACGGCTGTATAGAATCTGAAACAATATAACAAACTAAACAAAACATTTTATATGAATAAATATTGTGTCGTGTATGGCCATTGCTAGGCAACGACTAGGTAAATGCATTCCCGCAACATACGCGCACTAGACAATAGGATTTCAATTGCTAGGTAACGGACCAGAAAACACTCCTCCCTAACATTACAGGGTTGTTTTCCGTGGGGTCCGTGCCGAAGGGATATAACGTCGCTTGAGAAGGATAGAGAAGTAGAAAGAGTAGAGACAGAATAGTCGAGTAGAATACTCATTTGTAGTCGAGAATTGGGTCGCGTTCTGGAGATGATAGTCGAAAGTGATTCAGAAGAAATGGCAAGAAATGAATTAGGCCATGAAAAGAAGAGTTCATATGTGATATGAGGTTACAGTGAGACTGCGATAAATCCGTTGCCAGGATACGACCAGTGAAGACTGAGAACCCTAGTGCGTGTGCAACGGTGAAATGAAAGTGTGCAGAATAGCTATAGTGTTGCATTGCCTTTAGCCCCAAACTGTGTGAATGCAATAAATCCAATCATCCTATCCAAAACCCCGTCTTATAAATCGCCCCTACGCGTGACATTAACTATAACCCTCTGATTTGGCTTGGCCCATGTAAGTAGTTCCCATTTTACCTTCACTTATTATGGAGATTTAGCTCTTTATTTAATTACTGGACATTTTCCAGGAATGAATCCGGTGCGTAGATCGAGAAGTGACTGTACATAATTAATTTTGTACAGACGAACTAAAAGGTCAGAAGTCACAGGTTCAAAATAAACTTGCCGTGTCTGACACTGACGAGTCTGCCGACCGTACTTGTTGCCCTATGATTCAGCGAGAAGAATTTGATCATGGATCTGTATCACAGAAGTCCTCTGAAAGGATGGGCTAGTGTACTGGTATCGCTGCGGATTGTGTTCGGGGCACATATGGCTGAAATCCCCGCCAGGTTACAGGCTGTCCCGGATGGTGGTCCCCTGGACAAGATCAAAGTGGGTAATGATGTTTCTGCGGTTAATTAATTGAATATCACGCCATGAAGACGTGTGGAGAGTTGGGGTGTAACTTCATTCTTTCTTAACCTTCTGTACTAGATGAAAGTGATTAAATAGTTTCATGCCTCGGCCGGCTTTTCCCCGGGAATAGGGAAGGGGTGATTGGGCGGCAAAGTTCTGGATTCAATGAAGAAGAGAATAAATCCTTCCTCCACTGATAAACGAAGCACGATTCTCTGGCAGTCGAAACCATAGCATTGACAGTATATTGGCTGATCTATCTATCTATCTATCTATCTATCTATCTATCTATCTATCTATCTATCGATCCATCGATCCATCTGTATATCTATCGATCCATCCATCCATCAATCCATCCGTCCGTCCGTCCATCCATCCATCCATCTACTTGTCTGTCTGTCTGTCTATGGCTTTACAGCCCTCTGTTGGATTTTTCCAGCTTTGTCAGTTTCTTAGTCCTATACACAGTCGATGGGGCCCCTTGGACTGGGGATCAGCCCGCCGCAAGGCCGCTACATACATACAGAACAACATAAATACAGAATAAACGCAGACATCCATGCCTTGAGTGGGGTCCCAGCGTTACAGGGAGAGAACACAATTCATGCCTTAGGCCACTGTGATCGGCACTGCCTAAGCTACCTCGAGATAATCACAAGCGATACTATAAGATGAGCCATGGTAACTATTGGGCCAAATCCTTACCTACGAATTGGGGCAGTTTAATTAGGGCTCTCAAACGACACTTTTAACTTTCCTCTGTCTTTCTCATTATCTTAACGCGTATTTCTTTACAGTAACTCTCCTTATGAAGACAAAGTGCCAGAGTAAACATTTGGAGTTACATGACGTAACATGGGAAACAGAAGATATTTCTGCTCTAAGAACTTAGTCTTTTACGTAGCCGAGTTAATTTTTCGGGGTAGTCTAATGAAGGAAAAGGGGCGGGCCCCTTCAAAGCGTGAAGTGACGGGCTGCAAGTCAGTGCCACAATTCACTTACCAGCACACACGATACACCAGATGGCTCTGTAGGCAGTTTCCTTGTGAGTACCGAAGCCTCAGCACAAAGACGAAGACTGCAAGGGCAGGTAATGGAAGAACCGTCAGATCCTCACACAGTACGGCCCTCAGGGCACGAATTTTTTCTTGGGTGGGATGAAACTGAGTCCACTTGGTACGACGGCCACTAATTGACCTATTGTACAAGCCTCGAATGGTAGATGAATGTGGATCATTTGGTGGAATGATAATTGGCAGAGGAAAGCGAAGTACTCAGAGGAAACCTGCACCACTGCCACTTTGTCCACCACAGTTCACACATGACTTGTACTGAGATCGAATTCAGGCCGCCGCCGTGGGAAGTCGGCGACTAACCGCTCAAGCTATGATACAGTCTCAGGGCGTGATACAAAAGGATGAGTGAAAATTGACCGTGCTTTATTAAGTCAAGTAGTTCTGATGGGCTGAAAGTGGAGATCGGTTATGAGACGGAAGCGAAATGAGCACACTTTTGGTGAGGAGAGTCAAAGGAACGGGCCCCTCCAACTCACCTTCTCTCGTTTCAGAAATGTATCCTGTTATTTCAGTCGCCGATAAACTACAGTGCCGTTAAGGAACCCAAGACTCCGGCAAACACACTGCACGTCTCTACTGTTTACGGTCATGAAATCAGATCATTTAGCTCAGGTGGTAAGGTAAAAGGTAAAGCTATCCCTCTAAGAGAACGTGAAGGTCCACAAGGTTGTGAGACGTCGTAG